GTCGGGTTTGTTAGTGGGTACGGGGTGTGAGATCTTGGCCGTTGGATCAGTTTGGTTTGAATGGTTGAGATGGATCGGCCTTGAAACGACGTAGTTTTGGTATTAAACTACGTCGTTTTGTGTCCTGGGGGTGGGCTGTTCGGACTGGGCTCCAGATTTTGAAATGGGCACGGCCCAAATTCATTTTACAACAAATTTTGTCTTCTTTTTCTTTATTTCTAATTTCCTAAATACACAAACTAATTAAATAAAACCAAGCACCACTAATTAACACTTAACATATTTATTTCCCGCGGATAAAATGTTAAAAGTAGGCAAAATTAAACACGGCAACAAATCAGGACAAAAGAAAAAATGCGTATTTTTGTAATTTTCCATCTAACAAACGGGTCATGGTTTAAATTACGCATGACACATACATTTTTAATTCTTTTGGAGCGATTGTCGCGTAAAACAAAAATCACGTGCTCACAGTAACTACTGAGGTTCTAAGTTACCCACTCTTTTGCTCGTTTATCTTTGCAATTGGTTAGTATTCTTAACCCTTATATCATTAATTATTACTCCGTTACTTGTTCATGTATGTGTATTCAGTATGCCAATACTATTTGAACTTTTAGACAAGCATGCCTTAAGCTTCTTTGTTATTTGTGAACTCTCAGCATTGCATTGTTGTGTGCTTTTTGTAATTCTATTGTCTCAATGATGTTCTGCGGTTTCATGTTCTCTAGTATCGAACTTGATAGGTTTAAACATGTGTAGTAGACCTTCACTCTGCGTATTTGATTCAAGTAGTTTCTAGCGTTCTTAAGTTTGCCTGATTGATCATGCTCATATTAGCCTTAATGTCGTGTCTTTTGCTTGTTATGAGTTCACATTCATGCCTTGAATTTCTGGGATCTTTGTAGAAATTGCTTGCTCATAATCTGCTTCAATGAATCTCTTTTTACAAATCTACTATTTCCTGCAAAGTGACTCTTGACTCTCCCATGTTATAGCATTATCTTAATATATAGCCAACCATGTTTGTCTGCGATTTGTAACTGTGATGATTGTGTCCCTTGACCTATCAATCCTTCACTCTTTGCATTGCTTCTAAGATAAATACCAATCACTACAAGAAAGCATATAAGTTGCAATAACGTTTTAGCAACAACAATGATGTTGTTGCTAAATATCAGTAAATGACAACAACTCTATTTAGTTGTTGTTATATCACAAAAAATTTCACCCACAAAAAATTTCTTGTTGGCTAACAATTTAATTTTGTTGCCATAACCTTTTGGGTAATATAATAATTTTAAGATATAAATAAATTGGCAATAATAAATTGTCAGTGTTGCCAAAAATATTTTCTTGTTGGTAAAATATTTATTTTTCTCAATAAATTATTTGACTTGTGGCCTCCTAAAGAATACCTGCCCTTTTTTATTTTTATTTTGGCTCTCACCTTCCCCAATTAGTTCAACCCTTGGACTCGTGCTTTGTGTTAAGAGGTTCAAATGAGCGACAACCTTATCTTCCAGTGTTGGGGCTATGGCTTGAAATCGTAAGCTCCTTCATCTCTAGTTTTAGTTGTTTCTAATTTAGGGTTTCAATTCCTTGAATGCTTCGATTTAGGTTTTTAGTTAGCATGTCCTAATCAGCATCGACAAATTTTTCAAAGAAAAAATTAGGGCAACAAATTAACCATTTTCTTACAGGTTCTAAATAAAGATAGTGTGGTTCATCCACATCAGTACTTATAGCTCCATTCCAGTCTAATCAATGGTCTCATCTCTTATACGGTTGGTATTTCTATTTTACCTTTTTTTAATTATGTTCCTTTCTATTGATTGTAGATTCACAAGCAGATCGTGACTATAATTTACTTATTTTTTGGTATATTTGTGCTTTTTGGAATTGGGATAGATGTAGTTTTTAGCAGCTACTTTGGCTATATTTTTTGGGTTGTAATACTACTAAAGAATAGGCTACTTCTGGCTTTGCGGATCTCTCTTTGGTTATGTTACTTTGATTCTCACATCTCATTGTAAGTTAGTTCCTGCTCTGTCTAAATTCATATTTTTAGCATCTATGTTTGAAAATTGAATTAATGCAATTCAATTGTACTGATTTTAAAATCAATAGTGATGGAAACTCAGAGTGGAAATAGTTACATCTAGTGATGTGAGTATTACTATTGTTCATCTTGAGGAAGATATTGTGTTTGTTTCTTGTTTCAATAAATATTTTGGGTTCCAAGGAATTGAATGTTTTGTGAGATTAGGTGTTATCTGTTCTCTTAGAAAATTAAGTGAAATCTAATCATTACTGTGATTTCAACTAGGAGCATAAGAGGATTAGTTGCCTTTTTAAAATTAAAACTATAGTGACCCTTTTGTTCCTTAGTTTTATTGATAAATCTTAGTGTCTTTCACTAAGGAATATTGAGGTTCAAGAAGTAAATCCATGTTTAGAGAAAACTAATTGTATTATAAAGCTAGCACTAATGAAATGATGAAGCATTTTTTTTTATCAGAGTGTTGTAGTAATTACAAGTGACAAAACACCAGAAGAAGAAACTCTTTGCAATATTTAAGGGATTTCAAGAATAAATCTGTGTGTCGTGCATCCATAAAGCCTTACTTGTACTACCAATTATCATTCAATCACTACTTTTTTATAAGCTGCTAGTGCAGGTTGGTAGTTCCACTTGTATATTTGGGTGCTACCAATTATACTTGCGTTGTTAGAATGTGTGAGCTTTACATAAAGTAAAGGCTCTTTCTTTTGTCCCAGGATATCGCAAGTGTGGAGAGAAAACTCTTGCTAATACACTGAAACATGAGATGGAGAAAAAGAGGTAATTCTCTGCTTTAATAGAAACCTTTATTGTTGAATGTACAGTAGGGATTTAAACACATAAAAAGAAATATCCATATATTAACCAATAAGAAATGAAACCTTTGATCTGCAAAGAGAAAGTCGTACCAAATGCAGCAGGTCATAGTATATATTTTCTTGACCCATAAGCCCAGTTTCTATAAGTCAATCAGTTTATAGATACTTGTCTTAAATACCGGAGCTGTTGATATTTAGTGTAGTATCTTATCTTCCTTATTACATGACATACTTTAAGGAAAGATCTTGTATGAAGTGTTATGGGGAAACAAAACATTGCTATTTTAGCTTATTTCATCTTGGAAGGATTCTGGCTAGGATTACGTCTATATTTGCTGCCTCTGGTTCTCTTGTTTGAGGTTCTGCTAAATTTGCCTAATTGGAAGTCGATTATCAATGACAGGGTGGTTGAGAATCTAATTTTAGATTGAGACGCATACTGGATTATCGGAAACCATTAAAACAAAACTATATAATTCACTTGATCTACTGATTTTGTTAAAGATCACTTAGTCATTTGCAATTTCATTGTATTCACCAGGACTTGATTTGAGAAAAAGGTTTTAACTTAGCATAAAGAAAGAAATTACTCTTTACAAATTTCGTATACGGAGAACTTGATTATTTCTGTTGCAACTAAGGTGGATTGTTCTCTAATCAATTAGGAATAATAATTAAATATTTAAAATTATGTCCTACCTTTATCCTTCTTTATGTTAGGCAGCCTAGGAGGAAACTCAAGGAAGAAGGCTATTGTTTATGTTCTAACACTATGCATTACTGAATGCATCTTTTTTTTCCCTAGCAATGGTCCAATATTTCTTGCAGCTTATAATTATGATCATGGCATGACTGTTTTACATGTTTCTAGTAGGGTTGGACCTGCTGTGTAATTCCAAATGCACAACCAATTAAGTTTATTTGAAGATTCTTGATTTTCTCGATGAATTGGAAAAACTATGGAGGAGATTGAAATTGATGAAACTAGTGTCATATTGTGAATTGTATCTTTTATTCCTCTACTCTGTTTTACGACCTTCACATTCTTGCTACTATTTATACTTGTTGATCGTATAGTGCTATATTTTTGAAGAAGAGGATGAGGCAAGTCTATAAATCATGTGTCACGACCCAAAATCGACCGTGGTAATGGCGCCTCTTGTGGAACTAGGCCAATCTCAACTCTACAACCCAACATAATAAAATAACTTAAAAACATGATAGAAGCAGTTAACATTTAAGAAATCCTTTTGAAAACATAATAACTCCCAAAGTGTAATACAAACCAGCCCAAAACTGGGGTGTCACATAGTACATGAGCGTCTATTCAGAATACAATCCACTACAACGTATAAAGGAATAACTAAAAATACAACTGATAATAAAGGAAGAGAGTCAAGGCCTGCGAACGTTGTGCAACTACCTTGATAGTCTCTTAACTCTTGGGCCTCAATCAGAAGCCACCGCCATGAACATAGTCGCATGGATCTGCACACGAGATACAAAGATAACGTAAGTACACCAACTCAGTAACCAACAAGTCCAAACTTTAGACTGAAAGGTTGTGACGAACTCAACCGCAACATATATAATAAAAAAATGTGTAGAAACGTAGGCATACTTTCAATTAAATAGGCAGCTCAAAGAAATAAAGTAAATATAGATCCGAATAATGTAAGGTATATAACTCAACTATCTCTATATGATAATGCACATACTGTATGTAATGCACCATGTGCTCCCATTCTTAAGTGATCAACCACTCGGTACTGTATATGGCCATCTGTCCCAGGGAAGATCCATCTCGGAATATATACAACACTAACTATAAGTCCCAGTACCAAGGAAAACGACAATCCAACCCTATAAAGAAGATCCATCTCCGAGTATCAAGTACGTCGGACAAGATCCATGTCCAGGGAAATTCATCACATAATAATATCATCCGCGCTCACCGGGGGTGTGTTAGGACTCCGGAAGGGCTCCTAAAGCCCAAACACTATCATAATCATCAGTATAACCGTTGCAGCGTGCAACACGATCCCATAACTGTCACTTATAACCAGGCTCTCGACCTCACTCTGTCATTAATCTCTCCAATCTCACCCACGGGCTCACAATGTCATGAAAAAATACCTGGAACAATGATGTGATGAACCAATAAATAACTGAGACTGAGATATGGCATAAAAATGCAGGAACATGACAGAGCACGGAATATTAATGAAAATAGTGAGATGACTGCAAGAAACGTCCACTAAGGGTCCTAACAATGTCGGCATAAAGCCTAAAAATTATATGTAGCATGATTTACAACTCAATTACATTATCACATGATGAAAATATGGATATCAACAGGATAGAGTCACTAAATGGTGCCATGGAATTACCCAGGTCACAATTCTCACGGTGCATGCCCGCATGCCCGTCACTTAGCATGTGAGTCACCTCAATACCAATCACAAAACACAAATGTTGGGATTCAAACCCTCAGAACCAACTTTGAAGCGTTACTTACATCGAACCGAGCAAAATCCTACTCAGCAATGCCCTTGCATTTCAAATGCCTCCAAACGTCTCGAATCTATCTACAAGTAATACAATACAATCAATATAGTCTAAAAGAATCAATTCCACAAGAAAACTACCGAATTAGAGTCAAAATCCAAAATCGACTCAAACTCGGCCCCCGAGCCCACGTCTCGTAATTCGACAAAAGTCACAAAACCCGAAAGCCCATTCGCTCATGAGTCTAACCATACCATATTTATTAAAATCCAACCTCATTTGGTCATCCAAATCCCCAAAATCCAGTCTCCAATTCTCAAGCCCTAAACCCCCAATTTTCATTTCGAAATCTTGCTATTAGTTAGGGAAATCAGTGGGGAAACAAGATTTATGATTTAGAACGAGTTCAAGAAGCTTACCTTAATAATCCCCTAAAAAATCTCCTCCAAAATCACCTAAGTCCGAGTCTCAAATGTTGAAATAAGATCAAAATTGCGAACCCTTGCCTTTTAAGCTTCTGCCCAGACTTTTCGTACCTGCGGGCCCTCGAACGCATATGCGACGCCGCACCTGCGGAAATACCATCGCAGGTGCAGATTGCACTTAAAATCCCAGGCTTCGGTCCTACGACTTCAGGACCGCATCTGCGGCTACCGCTGGTGCGGAAATCCATCACATATGCGCCCCCCTCTCGCACCTGTGCTCAGCTGCACGCTTCTACATTTCTTGCAGGTGAGGGAACATCTTCGCACATGCGACTTCTGCCCAGCTCGTCCTTGGCCGCTTATGCCGCTCCTCCTTCACTTCTGCGGGCCTGCACCTGTTGTTCCCACTCTACAGGTGCGGTTACACCAGTACCAACAACATTTCAGTTGCATTTCCTCAACTCAAATCAAGTCGTCAACCACCCGAAATCATGATGAGGCCCTTTAAACCACTACAAAACATACCAACAGGTCCTATAACCCGATACGAACTTAGTTGAACCTTTGAATCACTCACAAAAACATCAAAACATCAAATTACACCGGGATTCAAGCCTAAAGAAGTTCTAAACTTCAAAATTCAACAAACGACACCAAAACCTATCAAACCACGTCCAATTGACCTCAAATTTTGCACACAAGTCAAAAATGACACCACGAACATACTCCAACTTTCGGAAATCCAATTAGATCTCAATATCAAAATTTCCTTAGTACCCTATCATCACCAATAGTCACATCTCTGACATCACCGTGTTGAACCTTGTCCTTAAGGACATCAAATGAGGATCATCATAATGGCCCCCTCTGATGCGATTGAATATGGAAGACCGGGAAACCACACAAGCTAGGACACAACTGGGCTCCGAAATATCCAATCTCACGATCTGGTTGGCCAAAGCCTGAACATCAACTGCAAGGGATCTCTCTCCATTAGGAAGGAATGCAAGACTACCCATACTCACTGCCTTTCTACTGAAGGCATCAGCCACCACATTGGCCTTTCTTGGATGGTACAAAATGGTAATATCATAGTCCTTTAGTGGTTGTAACCGTCTTTGCTACCTCAAATTTAGATCCTTCTACTTGAACAAGTGCTAGAAGCTACGATGATCACTAAATACCTCACAAGACACACCAAAGATATAGTGCCTCCAAATCTTCAACGCGTGAACAATGGCAGCCAACTTCAAATTATGAACAGGGTTAGTTCTTCTCATAGGGCTTCAACTAACGCGAAACATAAGCATTCACTCTACCCTCATACATCAAAACACACCCAATGCCGATCCGAGATGCATCACAATATACGATATAAGAACCAAAAGCTGATGGTAGAAATAGAACTGGAGCTGTGGTCAAGGCAGTCTTGAGCTTCTGAAAGCTCGCCTCATATTCATCCGACCACCTAAAAGGAGCACCCTTTTGGGTCAATTTGGTCAAGGGCGATGCAATAGACGAGAAACCCTGAACAAACTGATGGTAATAACCAGCCAAACCAAGAAAGCTCCAAATCTTTGTGGCTGAGACGGTCTGGAGAAACTCTAAATAGCCTCTATCTTCTTCGGGTCTACCTGAATAACCTCACTAGACACCACGTGTCCCAAGAACGCCATTGAACTGAGCCAAAACTCACACTTGGAGTACTTGGCATAAAGTTTCTCCTCCCTCATCTGCTGCATTACAACACTCAAATTTTAGGCGTGCTCCTCCTAGATACGAGAGTACACCAGGATATCATCAATAAACACAATAACAAATGAATCGAAATAAGGACGAAACACGTTGTTCATAAAATGCATGAACGCTGCTGGGTCATTTAACATCCCAAAAGACATCACAAGGAACTTATAATGACCATAATGGGTCCTGAAAGTTGTTTTAAGAATGTTCGAGTCCCTCATATTGAATTGGTGATAACCTAACCTTAAATCAATCTTGGAGAACACCCTCGCTCCCTGAAGCTGGTCAAATAGATCATCAATACGAGGCAAATGATACTTATTCTTGTTTGTGAGTTTGTTGAACTACCTGTAATCAATGCACATTCTCATAGTGCCATCATTCTTCTTCACAAATAGAACCGGTGCACCCCAATGTGACACACTAGGTCGAATAAACCCCTTATCAAGGAGTTCCTGAAATTGCTCCTTCAATCCCTTATCAAGGAGTGCCATACGATATGGTGGAACAGAAATGGGTTGATTGCCTTGCACAAAATAAATATCGAAGTCAATATCCTTGTCCGGTGGCATGCCCGGCAGGTCTGCAGGAAACACATTCGGAAAATCTCGCACCACCAAGATAGAAACAATAGTAGGAGTCTCTGAACTAGAATCCCTTACAAAGGCCAAAAAAAAAGACAACCCTTCCCAACCATCCGCTGGGCCTTCAAAAATGAAATCACTCTACTGGGGACATAATCCAATGAACCTTGCCACACAATCCGTGGCAACCCCAGCATAGCCAACCTTACCGTCCTAGCATGGCAGTCCAAAATAGCATGACACGGAGACAACCAATTCATGCCCAATATGACATCAAAGTCAACCATACTAAGCAGCAGCAGATCAACTCTATTCTTTAATCCCCCAATAGTCACTACACACGACCGGTATACATGATCCACAATAATAGTATCGCCTACATGTGTGATACACGAATAGATAAAACTAGAGACTCACAGGGCATGTCCAGATAATGTGCAAAATATGACGACTCATATGAATAGGTGGAACCAGGGTAAAATAATACAGAAGCATCTCGATGACATACAAAGATAATACCTGTGATCACTGTGTCTGAAACAATGGCATCTGGTCTGGCAGGGAGTGCATAGAAACGGGTCTGACCGCCATCTGATCGGCCTCCCCCTCTAGGGTGACCTCTAGATGACTGAGCTCTACCTTGAGCTGGCTGGGCGGGCGGTGAAGTAACTGGTGTTGTAGTCAAAGGCTGACTCCTCTGTTGAGATGAACCTCCCGTAAGGTGGGTACAATACCTCTTGATATGACCCAAATCTCTACACTTAAAGGAGCATCTACCGGCAAGTGGCGGTGGGG